CGCAGCAACTTGTCCGCAACTTTCAACTCGGGAACCACAAAAGCTAGGCGGCTGAAATTTTGGTATGGTGTTCCCCGCCAACGGATGGCACGGCAAATTTAAATTCAGCTTCTCCGTACCCACGGGTAATACGTATGACCCCGTGAAAGTTTTTTACGAATAAATTAATGTCTCGGGAACCACAGAGTCTGAAAGGCTGAAGTTTTAGGGTAATGACCCCCTGCCCACGCTCAACCTTGCCCATTCAAATTCAGCGTTCCCGCGCTCTCGGGCACCACCTTCGGGCTAGTGAAAGTTTTTATGGGTAAATTATTTCGGGGACCACGGGGTCCAGGAAGCTGAAATTTTAGAGTAATGAAGCATACGAATTGTGTGGAAGCACTTCTGGATGGTTATCAGGAAGCGCCATATTAGTCTGAGCCAAAGAAGAAGAAAAGTCATTGGCTTGACTCTCCAAGTATTTGGAAAGTGTTGGAGAAAGTGGATTTACACTTTCCTTCTGTTCCTTCCCGTCGTCTTTCTCTTTTCTTTTCCTTTTCCATTAAGCGCTGCCACTGTCTCATACTGACGAAGTCCTGTCGTGTTGTTGAGTTAAGACGTATATGACTTAATCTCATTATTACCGTCTTCCCTCATACTGTTTTTTCATACTTTAATCTGTCGCTGTTTCGCCATTTAGGCGTCCAAAGCTAGTATGGTTGCTATAATCGGCTTACAGTTAAGTGGTGAAAAATTTACCGGTTGAGTAGAGAGGAAAAAGAAAAGATTCTGGGGTCCTGAGGCATAATTGAATGGAATTTTTGGGTTAGATACTTTTTTACATTTTTATTAATATATTCAATCTTTCAAAATATTGTTGCCTAATTTTTTGTCTCCGAATATCTCTGCATAAAAAGTTTTTGATGTGTTTCAACTGCAGAATTTTAGTGGCCAAGGAGTGCCTGGAACAGTTGTTAATTTGCAATATTTTTCTCCATCTATGTATTTGGCAATTTTTACATTTTATTTAAGGTTAAGTGAAAATTTAATTGGAAAAAGTAAAAAGGGGTGATAGAAAAACTAAAAAGAATAAGGAATAAAGAAAGAATAAAGAAAAAAGAGTAAAGAAAAACTAAAGAGAATAAAGAATGTTGCATCTCTGGTGGTCAATTTGCTGAATTTAAAAAATGAGGTTTTTTTATGAAAATAAACAAAAAATTACCTTATATTTCTTGGAAAAAAGAGCAAATCCAGTTAGTGGAGGAA